GGACAGCGAGAGAGAGAGACAGAGAGAAAGGTCTTCCTTTGCCGTTGGTTTACCCTCCAATGGCCGCCACAGCCGGCGCACCTCGCTGATCCGATGGCAGGAGCCAGGTACTTCTCCTGGTCTCCCATGGGGTGCAGGGCCCAAATACTTGGGCCATCCTCCAGTGCACACCCTGGCCACAGCAGAGAGCTGGCCTGGAAGAGGGGCAACCAGGACAGAATCCGGCACCCCGACCGGGACTAGAACCTGGGGTGCCAGCACTGCAAGGCGGAGGATTAGCCTAGTGAGCCGCGGCGTTGGCCTACATATAGTTTATTTTTTAAGAGACAGAGAGCAACCTCTCATCCTCTGGTTCACTCCCCGACTGCCCCGCAATGACTGGATCTGGGTCCGGCTGAAGCTGGATGCTGGGAGCCAGAACACATCTAGGTCTTCCATGTGGGGGCAGGGACCCAGCTTCCTGAGCCATCACTGCTGCTGGGTCCCAGCGTTCACTTTAGCAGGAGCTGGAACCAGGCATCAGACCCAGGCCTTGCTGTGGGAAAAGGGCATCCCAAGTGATGTCTTAACTAACAAACACCTGCCCCTGTTCACTTTGTATATAAACCGTGTAGGCCAAGTGACGAGTATGTGGGCTTGACCAGGAGCATGTGACATGATATGGGAGACAGAGGATGCTCTCCAGTCATGTGTTTGGCAAGGTAGCGGGCAACATCCTGGCTAGGAATGCTGGCCAGAATGGTCACCAGGGCAACACCCTTAGCCGCAGCAGGAGCTGCCGGGCACCTGTGCAGGGGGGTGGGCCTGCTGAGCACGCACTCAAAGCTCCTCCTTTGGAGGGAACGTGCCCATTGGTCCTGCATTCCAGTCAAGGGAAACCAGGAACCAGTTTTTCTGAGTGAGCTCTGCTGTGATTCCTCTGCAACAAAGAGTAGCTTCCGTTGGTTTGCAAAAATCCAAAGGAATTCCCAGAACGTTCTTCTGCGTGGGGACTCTGGAAGTGTGAATCTCCAGAGCATTTCTTGGGCCTTTAATTCCAGGAAAGAAAGCAGTTGAGTGAGAACATCAGTTTCCCCCTTTTGTGGTTTCACTTTTGCAGTTTCAGTCACCGTTGGTCAACCATGGTCCAAAAATATTAAATGAAAAAAAAAAACACAGAAATAGAGAGGCTCCATTCATTGTATTATGATCTATGGCTATAATTGTATTTTATTGTTAGTGGTTGCTGTTACTCTCTTACTGTGCCTAATTTATAAGTTAAACTTTATCATAAGTATGATGTGTAGGAGCATATATGGGCTTTGTTACCGTCTACATTTCCAGGCTTGACCATGACCCTGGAACATGTACCCCACACAGAAGGGGAGCCACTGTGATGAGAATAGCCAGGTGACAATCATTCTGATCATCTACTCTCCATTCTTTTTCTCATCAACCAATTTTAGCTATAACAAAATAAAGCTCCTCTGGCATCATTTCAGAGCGTTAAGGGGAAAAAGTCTGAGGAGGATTTTTTTAAAGAATAAACTAGTAAAATATAGTCATGATAAAGCTGATCAAAATTACAGTTGGAATCTAAATTGGCTGCCCGGCACGAGGAAGTATTTTAAAAGAAATCGCAATCCTTGCAATGTGGCTGCTGTAAGAATATGATATTGTAAGGCAGGCATTGTGAGCAGTGGATAAAGCAGACTCTGCAACTCGGGCATCCCATATGGGCGCCAGTTCAAGTCCCAGCTGCTCCACTTCCGGTCCAGCTCCCTGCTAAGGTGCCTGGGAAACCAGTGAAAAAGGTGGCTCAAGAAATTGGGCTGCTGCCACCCATGTAGGAGGCCCAGATGGAGTTCCAGGCTCCTGGCTTCAGTCTGGCTCAGCCCCTGCTGCTGCAACCATTTGGGGAGTGAATCAGTGGATGAAAGATCTCTCTGTCTCTACCTATCTCTCTGTGACTCTTTTCAAATAAATAAAATAGATCTTTAAAAAATGAATATGATATTGTACCACGTGTCTACCTTTTTAATTCTTATCAAAGTCTGTTAAAAGTTTGCATAAGAGGGAGAGGAATCCCATCCAGCAGTTCACCCCCAAAATGTGACAACAGCCAGGGATAAACCAGACAAAAGTTAGGAGCCTGCAACTCAATTCAGGTCTTCCACATGAGTGGCAGGGACCAAGTATTTGAGTCATCACCATGGCCTCCAAGGGTGTGCACTAGGAAGAAGCTAAAATGCCAGCAGAGGCAGGACTTGAACCCAGGCACTTCATGTGGGATATTGGGGCTCCAAGCAAGACCTTAACCACTATGCCAAAGGCCCACCTTAGGAGCACTTGCTTTTAGAAGGAAATCCTTGGGGCCAGTGCTGTGGCACACAGGGTTAATCAGATCCTTGCAATGCTGCCATCCCATATGGGCTTTGGTTCCTGTCTCAGCTGCTCCACTGCTCATGAGCCTGGGAAATCAAAGGAAGATGGCCCAAATGCTTGGATCACTGTCACCTATGTGGGAGACCAGGATGGAGTTCCTGGCTCCTGGCTTCAACTTGGCCTAGTCCTGGCTATTGCAGCCATTTGGAGAGTGAACCAGTAGTTGAGATCTCTCTCTCTCTCTCTCTCTCTCTCTCTCTCTCTTTCTCTCTCTGTCACTCTGCCTTTCAAATAGATCTTTCCAAAAAAAAAAAAAAAACCCACATAAAAGTAACCTTATTCATGCCATTAAATCCTCCTCTTTAAAGGTCTGAATTCTTACTAAACACAAAAGACTAAGTTCAATTCCTAAGTCAAGCTTAAGGAATTGAATTGGACTGAGTCTCAAATTTCTTATTTTGACCAAGTTTTAGGTGAAAGTCTCCTTGTAGATTACAATGCTTAAGGTTATACTTTCGTAAAGTCCTAGTTACCCTATCATTTTACCTTCTTTAACTGACGTAAGAGTACATTAAATAGTGACAGGTGGCAAAGATCACCAAAAAGAGCCATAAAGGCCACTAATGTGCCAGACTCTAACACTATGGATTGGAAAAGAAATAAACCCACTAGGGATGAATTTCCTTACCCCCAAATGAATCAAACTTCTCCCTGTAGGTTGATGACAACACGTTCTCAGAATGTAAAGTTGAAAAATTAAACTACTCGCTCCCTTGGTAGGCAGCTGGCTGCTACTGGGCTCATCATTTCTCCCCCAGTGAGCCAGGCACCATTGCTGGCCTTGGACGCTCACAAGTAAACAAAACAGACCCACTGCGAAGTTTCTATAGGCTTCCACTGTAATGGAGAAAAAACACGCAATGAACAGGTAAGCAGAGACGCAAGATAGTTTCAGAGCTGCTAAGGGCAATGAAGACAACAGACCAGGGCAAGGTGACAGCAGGTGAGGAGGGGGGGCGGTTCCTTTCTGGGGAGATGGCGGGAGGAAGTTGGTTTACTTTCAAACTACCAGTAGTTCCGCCCACTCACTCTGTTTCCGTTGGCTCGGACAAGGAACAGTGGTTTGCACCCCTGTGATGCAGGGCAAGACACAAGTCCTCGACGCCATGCAGGCCACTGTCTCATGACTTCTCTGGCCTTTCCCCGGGCTGGGGAGAGCCTGCCTCCCCTCCCGGTTTTCCCAGTCATCCTCTCCCTGCTCTGCGTCGTTTTTACTCACTGGCTCCCAGGAGCAGGCCTCGTATCCAACTCTCAGGATGTGGAGAGCTGCAAATAGCTCCAACAGCTGCAGCTGGAGGTAGCCGCCTGGGCAGCGTGCCAGCTGCTGCCACCGCAGGAGCCAAGGCCGCCACGGGCCTCCCCACGCCCTTGTGTGCAGCCTCGCCGAGCATCAAGGCCTGTGGGCCGGCTCGCTGATGCACACGATGCCTCGGACTGTCGCCTCTGTGGCCCAGTGACCACGGCAGGCAGGTCAGGAAGAGGGGACTTCTTCTGACCTCCGAGGCTGCCTCAGCGGAAGGGTTGGCACCCATCATCACCCCTTCCGTGCAAACAGGGACCCTGGGGTGAAAGGGTGCTGTGACCGCAGAGCTGGCTCCCAGGGAACCCGGCTTCCAGCCCACCCACTGTGCTCCTGGGGCCTGACCTTCTCCTGATGGTTTGCTCAGTCCCCTCCTGTATGTCCGCCAGTTATAAGACTCACATTCACCTCTGGCCACACTCCCAGATGCAAAAATCTAAGTACAGTTATGCCTCGGCAGCCCCAGGGGATGGCTTCCGGGACCCCCTGCAGATACCAACCTCAGCAGGTGCTCGGGTCCCTTCTATAAAATGTGAGTATTTGCATACAACCTACAAATACTCCAGCCTGCGTAGATTTCAAATCCTCTCTGGATGATTTCTAAATAGCTAACAACGCCAATGCTGTCTAAATCACGATGATACTGCAGGGTGTAGGCAATAATGACAAGGACAAGGTTTGTACATGTACAGTACGATGCAATTTTCCCCCCAACTATTTTGCTGAATCCGCAGATTCAGAACCTGTGGATCTGGAGGCTGATTGCATTACTTCTAAGGCACCTGGGGAATTTATCTTTAAAGAAAGAAGTGTAAATGGAAGTTAAAATACCCGTCTGGCCACTGCCCATATGGAACTGGATTTAGGGTGTTTGCCCAGGGCTCCAGCACCTTGGCCTTGAAGGGGCCCCCAAGTCCCTCCACACCAGGCAGGCCCTTGGGACAGTGAAGCCGGGCTCCCGTCGTCGGTCAGGTGGCCGTGCTGGGTGTCAGGGAGGAGGAACCGCTCTCCCAGAGTAAGTGGGCTGAAGGAGAACCCGAGACTGCGGAGGTGGACCCTGAGCCCGCCGTGGCCGGGGGCCGCGGTCCTGGGGGAGCTGTTTGAGCGGCTCTCTCAGCTCTTAGGCCAGGAGAGGAGACGAGACCGGATTGAGAAATGAGTGTACAGCCGCGTTAACTGTACACAGGAAACCAGTGCAGGCGACCGTGACACTGTCCTGTGTTGTCATCTTTCTCTCTTCTTTGTGTTTTTTTGTTGTTGTTCTGCAACCAAAAAAAAAACAAAAGTGCATGTTAAGAATTCAGCTGATGTTCAGTAACACATGTTTCTTAAGGGGCCTACTTCAGCATAAATACATTAAAAAAAAAAAAAAGCTTTTTAAAGCAAACCCATACAGGTTGGTAGGACAACCCTGACGAGCTTATGAAATGGCAAACAAGATTCACCGGGAGTACGAAGAACAGTTATATTCTTACTCTCTTTCAATTAAATTTTCAACATGCTTCAGCAAATCTGCGTGTTTCCTCCAGGTGGTTGTTTTGTTTCGGGTTTCCTTTCTGCTGCCTAAAAATGTTTTAAGTCTGCCAGGAAGCCCCCTGAGGGAGAGGGAGATCTTAATATGCAATATTAACTCCTCTGCCTATTGTATCCATAAACGGGGCCAGCCCTCTCCCACGGGTGTCAGAAATTGCTTTCACGTGCTGTTTGGAAAGGCCTTGACATCCAGAAACAAAGAAAATGAAATAAACCAAAGCCCCAAGAGATAAGATAAGAAGTCCAAAGACCTAGGAGAGCAGTGACTTTCCAGTCCCTGATTTTACAAAAGCCCCGGAGCACAGGTGTTGGGAGTGACCTCATTGTCCTGGTGACTCCCATTGACCCCTTGCTGCCTGGGTGTTCTTGGGCAAGGCCTCAACTTCCCCATGTGTGCAATGGACTCAATCATTTCACTGGTTTCCTAAGACTTCACTGCTGAGTGAGAGGAATTTAATGAAGGAATCCAAGGATAACACCTGGCATTGCCCATGATACTTGGTAAGAGCTCAATAAAAAGCTGTTGCTTTTTAAATAACAATAACAATAAAAATTATTAGGGGCATTTGGCACAGCAGTTGATGCCACTTGGCACTCCTGCGTCCCATATTGGAGTGCCTGGGTTTGAGTCCTGGCTCTGCTTCCCACTCCAGCTTCCTGCTAATGTGCACCGGGAGGCAGCAGGTGATGGCTCCAGTAGTCAGAACCCTGTCACCCACATGGGAGACCTGGATAGTTTCTGGCTCCTGGCTTTTGCCTGGCCCAATCATGCCTGTTGTCAGCCTTTGGGGAATGGCCCAGTAGATGAAAGATCTATGTCTATTCTTTCTCTGTATACCTCTCTGCTTTTCAAATAAATACATAAATTTATTTCTGCAAGTACTGCTATAAAATAAATTAATTATGAGCTTAGGGTAATTAGCAATATGATTCCCAAGTCTCATTCTTATTTATTTCTCCATTAGGCTTCCACCTTAATGCAAAACATGGTATAGTGGCTTCATTACCACCTATGTATTTGAACTTGAGGTCAGCAGTTCCCAAGCCTGGCTGTGTCACCTAAGGTACTAATAATACCTGAGTCTCATTATCACCGCCACCCTCGCCTCCAGGATTCTGATTGAATCCACCTGGGGTGGCCTGGGCTTGGGCAGTGTCAAAACTCTCCAGGTGATCCCAGTGTAAAGCCAAGTGTGCAAGCTGATGTTTTTGGGTGGAGTCCCAACCAAAAAAACAAAATAGATGTTCATAGATGAGATCAAATTAAGGAATGTGTATTCTGAGCTAGTAATTTGACTCATTTTGCTGTATTGGCCACTCAAATCAGCCAAACAAATCGTCTACCTTTTTCATAGATTTTATAAGTTTTGGTAGGTGTGACCAATTAATTCAATAAAAAGTTTGATTTCATAAAAATCCCATGGCCATAGCCTCAGGTAAACTGAGGCTAAAGAGGGAACCAGCTACAACTGTGTGAGTATTTTGGTACTTGGACAAGACACATTACTATAGGAGTCTACATTATTTAACTCCATCCAGTATAGTGATTAAAAAATTGAATATTAACTTGAAATGCTGATAGTTTTAGAGGAATTTCATCAGTTCAGTAAAAACTTGATTCCTCAAACTCATATAGCAATTTCCTAAAGGAATTTGTTGGGAACCAGCTAGGATTTTTAGGTGTAATTAAGAATATAAATTACTACAGGAGTACACCCTATGTAATTCTATGCTGCACATTTGCTAATAAACTGAATGTTAAATCATAATACTGTCAGCGGAATGACACTGATGCCACCTCATGCCTTTGATCTTGTCCTGGGGACCTCTGAGGTTGTGTGGGTTGCTCTTTGATTTATACACTATTGTGTATGTTACTAACTTCATTTAAAGCTGAATAAGAGGGGTGGGTGCAGTGGCACCCTGGCCTGCAGCACCAGCATCCCATATTGGGCTGGTTCGAGACCCTGCTGCTCCACTTCTGATCCAGCTCTCTGCTATGGCCTGCGAAAGCAATAGAGGATGGCCCAAGGCCTTGGGCCCCTGCACCAGCATGGGAGACCTGGAAGAAGCTCCTGGCTCCTAGCTTTGGCCGTTGCGGCCAACTGGGGAGTAAACCATTGGATGAAGATCTCTCTCTCTCTCTCTCTCTCTCTTTCTCTCTCTCTCTCTCTCTTCTCAGCCTCTCCACTCTCTGCGTAACTCTGACTTTCAAATAAATAAATAAATCTTAAAAAAAAAAAAAACTGAATAAGAGAGTGGTCCACTTAGTGCCTTGGGTCATACTGAGCCATCAAATGAACTACAAGTGAGGTAGCACTCTCAGGCTCTATCAACTTCCTGTTGACATTGTCTGTTAGAGGCGAGAAATGGTAGATTAGAAGAAGACCTTGATCTCATTCCCCAAAAGTTCTGTATCTGACTATGGACTAGGGATACCCTGAACCACTTCCACCAGCTGGGCAGAGCAAACTTTCTAGGATATATCTGCAGATGGGCAAAACATGACTAATAGCCCTTTGCCTCCAGCCTCCCAAACATAGAACAATTACCAAGTTAAAAATCAGTCAATTTTATGTATATGGTCAATTTTCACCAATGCAAAATCAGTTATTCATTTATTAGAGTATTTATTTATAGAAAGAACAAAGAAATGACATTAATAGAAAATGGAGAGTGGGGCCAATACTATGTTGTAGTGGGTAAAACTGCTGCCTACTGCATGGATATCCCAAATGAGTGCCAGTTCAAGTCCTGGTTTCTCCACTTCCAATCCAGCTCCTTGCTAATGGCCTGGGAAAGCAGTGGAAGATGGCCCACATGCTTGTGTCCCTGTACCCAATGTGGGAGACCCAGAAGAAGCTCCTGGCACCTGGCTTTGGATCAGCCCAGCTCTGGCCATTGCAGCCATTTGCTGCAATGAACAGTGGATGGAAAACCTCTCTCTCTGTCTCTCCCTCTCTTTGTCAACTCTACCTCTCAAATAAATGAAAAAAATCTGTTTTTAAAAAATATTCCTTTGGAAGGCAGAGCACAAGAGAGGGAGAGATCCTTCATCTGCTGGTTCATTCCCCAAATGCCCACAAGAGCCAGGGCTGGGCCAGATCAAAGCCAGGAGCCTGGGACTCAGTCAAGGTGTCCCAGGTGAGTGCCAGAGACCCACCTACGCGGGCCACAATCTGGGCCTCCCGGGATGTGCGTTATTGGGAAGCTGGGCCGGAAGCAGAGGCGAGACTTGATCCCAGGCACTCCAGTGTGGGATGTTGGCATCCTAGGCAGCAACTTTACCCGTAGCATCACAACCCCCTCCCCAAGAGTGTAACTTACAACTTACATGCGCTGAGATACACTTGGAAACCTATGTGCACGCTTACCTACAATTTTAATTACCCAAACTAGTCCCCAAAATAACCAGAAGCAGCATCTAATAAAAGCACAGAAAAGTATGAACAAAAGCGATCAACATCAAGAAAGGAGTAAAGGGGGCCGGTGCTGTGGTATAGTGGGCTAACCCTCTGCCTGCAGCACTGGCATCGCATATGGGTGCCGGTTCGAGATCTGGCTGTTCCACAACCCATCCAGCTCCCTGCTAATGTGCCTGGGAAAGCAGTGGAGGATGGCCCAAGTGCTTGGACCCCTGCACTCCCATGGGAGACCAAGAAGAAGCTCCTGGCTCCTGGCTTTCGACAGGCCCAGCTCCAGCTGTTGCAGCCATTTGGGGAATGAACCAGAGAACAGAAGACCTCTCTCTCTCTCTCTCTCTCTCTCTGTGCTTCTGCCTCTCTGTGACTCTGCCTTTCAAATAAATAAATAAATCTTAAAAAAAAAGGAAGGAAGGAAGAAAACAAGAAAGAAAAAAGAATAGAGACCATAGAAAGACATTTAAACATCAGAAGGGTAGGGAGGGAACTAGCATTAAGTGCCTAGAATATGTTAGTCTTTCTGTGCATAATCTCCTTTAATCCTTATGACAATCCTCAAGAAACAATCAGTCCCACTTTGTAGATAGGAAATGAGGCTCAGAGGGATTAAGTAACTTCCCCCAGACCGGTCCACTCCCTCCCCACCACCTCTCAGAGGGACCAACCCACCTATTTGCCCAGGATCGAGGGATTTCCTGGAACATGGGACTTTCTGTTTTAAAACAAATGGTGGTCCTGGGAAAACGGGAAGGAACTGGTACTCAGGTGGTAGCCTGGGGTGACTGCTCCTTTGGTCACCAGATGGATTCCCGGTCTTCAGTCTGTTCCTGATGGGAGCGCCCAAGGAAGCCTGAATCTCTCAGACATTTCGGGAATAATATAGCCATAGCACATGCCCACTAGCGAAAGTAGTTAAGGGGGCTGCTAGCCAATCACTGCTTAGCTCATGTAGGTCAAGGGTCAGCACACCTGGTCATTATCAATGTCAGTTCTCAGTGTTGTGGGCCAGAGGTCTCTGACACAACTACTCAATCCTGTCATTCTGGTGAGAAGCCGCCTTGGAGAACACAAGAATAAGTAAGTGTGGCTGTATTCCAGGAAACCTTTCGTTACCAAGACTGGAGATGGGCTGAATTTAGTTAACAGGCAATTTCCCAACTCTGATGCTGGTTATTAATTAAAAAAAAAAAAAACCCTTTGCATAGATGACACATTTTTGAAGGAGAATTATTTCTGAATGTTACTTTAAGTAGGGTAGAACCAGTAGGTAGTCAGGAGCTCTCTTTTGAACTAACTTATTTATCAGTTAACATTTCCCACATTTTCTTGCCAGTCTGGGACTATGGAATTTGACTTTTTTTAAAAACAATTTTATTTATTTATTTGAGAGGTAGAGTTACAGACAGAGAGAGGGAGAGACAAAGAGAAAGGTCTTCCATCTGCTGGTTCACTCCCCAAATGGCCACAATGGCCAGAACCAGGCCAATTTGAAGCCAGGAGCTTCTTCTGGTCTCCCATACAGGTGCAGGGGCCCAAGCACTGGGGCCATCTTCCACTGCTTTCCCAGGCCACAGCAGAGAGCTGGATCAGAAGAGGAGCAGCTGGGACTAGAACCAATGCCCATATGGGGTGCCGGCACTGCATCTTCTATGCCACAACGCCAATCCTCTTGACTTCTAATCCTACCCCCAAATCACACAGTATTTGGGAGTGTGAAGGCATCACACATTTTTACTCCTTTCTATTGGAGATTTTATCCCTTACTGTGTCTCTCTCTGTGACTCTGCTTTTCAAATAAAATAAATAAATCTTAAAATAATAAAATAAAAAAGTAAACAAAAAAGAAAAATAAAACCACAGAAGCCACTTCATGTTCTCCAACTGGAAGTACCATTTTGATGGCTGTCGATTTCCAGTTGGAGTTAACCAGTAGATGAGATCTCTCTCTCTCCCTCTCTCTTTCTCCCCCTAACACTCTCCCTCTTTCCCTCCCTTGGAAGTACATAAATAAATTATAATAAAAAAAAAAAAAAGGATTCTCTGGAGGAGCAAATGGGAGCCCAGGCTGTCTGAAGGTTTCAGGCAGGGTTCCCTGCAGAGATGGCAACCCCACCAGGCCAGGACTGTCGTGTCTTTCCTGCCACTTGTTTGCTGAGTGGTCTCTGTCTACACTCTTCCACGTTTGGCTGGAGAGCCACACGTACCAGTGTGCCTTCCGATTTCCTCTGGCTACACAGTCCCCACGCTTCCCGACGACAGCCACACTGCACAGTTCTCCAAGGATTCTAGCTCCCCCAGATTGTGGCTTTCAAGCTAATCTCTAAATTGCCTGAATTGCCAACCGCAGCCAGGCTGGCTTGAGATCCCAGTTTTCCTAACTCAGGCCTGGCTCCGTCTGTCTTGTCCACACTGTACTTGTCATTGAACTGTTGAGTGTTAGGCTTGCGCTTGACTCGTAAGAACTGACTCAAAATACTTATGACCCTAAAAGAGAATCCTTTAAGGAAAGTATTAGAGCAGAATTTCAATAAGAATGCCTAAGCACACTCTTAGATAAATATTTAGATAACGCATGCATTATTAAGCAATAAAAATCAAGATCAGCTACTCACCTGAACACATTTCATAACTGTTTAATTTATCAACTTAACCCAGTTGACTCCAATTTTCCAACCTTACACTTATAAGGAAGACATTAATACTGAAGATTATAGTGATATAGTAGAGGAGAATACAGTAATAAATAATTTAGTTTCTTTATGCTTCGGTTACTTTCCTAAATTACTTATGAAACAGCAACAAATATTACTGGTGCTACTGGGAAAATTGACATTATCCATGTTTTATTTAACAATGAAGTCGGGTCAGCACTGTGGCGTAGCAGGTAAAGCCGATGCCTGCCATGCCCCTTAGCGGCATGGGTTCAAGTCCTGGCTGCTCCTCTTCTGTTCCAGCTCTTTGGTATGGCCTTGGAAAGCAGTGGACAATGGCCCAAGTCCTTGGGCCCCTGAACCCGCATGGGAGACCCAGAAGAAGATCCTGACTCCTGGCTTCAGATTGGAGCAGCTCCATTGCAGCTATCTGGGGAGTGAACCAGCAGATGGAAGACCCTCTCTCTCTCTCTCTCTCTCTCTCTCTCTCTCTCTGCCTCTGCCTCTCTGTAACTCTGCCTCTAAAATAAATAATTAAAGCTTTAAAACCAACAAACAAAAACGAATGGAGTCATCATAAGGTTGAGAGAGAAAAGGGAGGCTGGGACAGAAAAACTCATTGCATGTAAATCTTTTTTAAAAAATTATTAATTAGGGGCTGGCACCGTAGCATAGTGGGTAAAGTTGCTGTCTGCAGCACCAGCATCCCATATGGGTGCCAGGTTGAGTCCTGGCTGCCCCACTTCTGATCCATCTCCCTGCTAGTGGCCTGGAAAAACAGTGGAAGATGGCCCAAGTCCCTGGGCCCCTGTACCCACGTGGCAGACCTGGAAGAAGCTCCTGGCTCCTGACTTCAGATTGGCCCAGCTCTGGTCATTGTGGCCATTTGCAGAGTAAACCAGTGGATGGAAGATCTTGTTCTCTCTAATTCTTCCCTTCAAATAAATAAATAAATCTTTTAAAAAATATTATTTATTTGTGTTTGTGTGTGTGTGAGAGAAAGACACCTGCTGGTTCACTACCCAAGTATCTACAATGGCCAAAACTGGACAAAGTTGAAGCTAGGAGCCCAGAATTCAATTCAGGTCTCCCACATGGGTGGCAGGAGCAAGAAACTCATTGTATTTGATACAGATTCTGGTTTCTGTAAAACCTATATGCTTGATTTGGCTGAAGGATATCAAAGTCACTAAGCAAGGGAATGGCATTTGTTGTAGCTAAAGTAAACACTTTTTATTTCTGCTATCCGTACGTAAGCATATGAGTAAAACAGAACGTTATGTATTTGTACATTTTGGGAAAATATGCAGCTTAATCATTATCATAACATAAGTCACATCCCTTAGGCTACTCAGTGTTTCACCATTGCTTTGAGTGTTCTATATGGGCAAAGACCATGGAGCCGAGTAATCCCGAATAATTTGAATAGTGTGGATTTTGGTCTGGTCCAGACAAAATGAAGCACATCTGAATTGGCCCAGTAATGTCAAAATTAATTCTGTAACTCACTCCCAGATCATGTGTTCAAAACATCACACTAACATTAAATGTCACCCTCATTGCCAGAAAACACTCGTGGAGACTTATTAAGATTTTTTCCTCTGATTTATTTGGAGTTGGAAATATCTCCTAATCTTCAAAAACTCCAAGGTTTTTCTTCTCTGTCCAAAATAGGAGCAGAACCCTGCCCTCAGACATAAAGATGATCAAATCCATACATTTCCGGAAAACCCTTTACCGAAAGTTCAAATGAATTGCGAATCCTTTTCATGAATCATGGTTCCTCACTCCCTGAATAACAGCTACACCTGTGACACAAGATGTTTGCAATAGGGCTGGAGTGTGGCACAGCAGGTTAAGCCTCCATCTGTGGTGTCACACCACCATCCCATACAGGTGCTGATTCGAATCCTGGCTGCTCCACTTCCAATCCAGCTCCCTGCTAATGCACCTGAGAAAGCAGCAGAAGATGGCCCAAGTGCTTGGCCCCTACACCTATGTGGGAGATCTGGAAGAAGCTCTGGGCCCCTGGCTTTGGGCTGCCCTAGCAAATGCGTTGACGCCACTAGGAAGTGAATCAGTGAATGGAGGATCTCTTTCTCTCTCTGTTTCTCCTTCTCTCTCTGTAATTCTGCCTTTCAAATACATAAATAAGTAAATCTTTTTAAAAGATGTTTTCAATAAACCTGATAAATTTCCATATTTTGAGAAATCAATTGTGAGCATTACGATTGGAAATAGAAAGGGCCAGGCCGGCGCCATGGCTCAATAGGCTAATCCTCTGCCTTGCGGTGCTGGCACACCAGGTTCTAGTCCCGGTCGGGGCGCAGGATTCTGTCCCGGTTGCCCCTCTTCCAGGCCAGCTTTCTGCTGTGGCCAGGGAAGTACAGTGGAGGATGGCCCAAGTGCTTGGGCCCTGCACCCACATGGGAGACCAGGATAAGCACCTGGCTCCTGCCTTCGGATCAGCGCGGTGTGCCGGCCGCAGCACGCTGGCCGCGGCGGCTATTGGAGGGTGAACCAACGGCAAAAGGAAGACCTTTCTCTCTGTCTCTCTCTCTCACTGTCCACTCTGCCTGTCAAAAAAAAAAAAAAAAGACAGAGAGAGAGAGATAGAAGGGGCCAGTGCTGTGGCGTAGTGGTAGAAAGCCACCTGCAGTGCCGGCATCCCATATGGGCGCAGGTTCTAGTCCCAGCTTCTCCACTTCTGATCCCGCTCTCTGCTATGGCCTGGGAAAGCAGTGGAAGATGGCTCAAGTCCTTGGGCCCCTGCATCTGCGTGGGAGACCAAGAAGAAACTCCTGGCTCCTGGCTTTGGATCAGCCCAGCTCTGGCTGTTGGATGGAAGACATCTCTCGCTCTCTCTCTCTCTCTGCGCCTCTGCCTCTCTGTAACTCTTTCAAGTAAAATAAAATAAAATAAATCTTTAAAAAAGATTTGAAATAGAATAAATGAAAATAAGAAGTGATGGGTAAATGTATATAAAGTCTTCAACAGTGCTGGAACATATGCATTCAATAAATGTTACAAGTGTACAAGGAGACTTCAAAAATTCATGGAAAAAATAGAATTGAAAGATAAACTTATTTTGATGCAAGAAATTTTGAAATCCATGGAGTTTTTTTTTCACAATATTCATTTTCCAAGGTCTTTTTGATTATATTTATAATAATACATAAGTTATATAAAATGAAGTATACTGATATAAATCAATATATTATATAACAATATAATGTATAATTATATGATATATAAATATAATAAATATTTTAATTTTATTTGGGAATAGTCACATATAATAGTCACATATAATGTGTACACAGATTTATGTATAGAATAGGCATGTATAAACAGAGAAGGATCTAACTTTCCCAGTTGCCAAAAATAGTCTTTGCTTGTGAATTAATTCATTGTCTGCTGTTTGTCTGATCTCCTGTAGAGAGAGCTGGAAAGGAGGGCACCAGCAGAGGTGCGAAAGGCTCATTTATTTTAGTTCTGGGAGCCTCACCATAAGTATTCTCATATTAGCAGTGAAGTAACTTTGGCTGTTAATGAAATACCTAATCAGTTATCAGAATTACAGCACAGACTGCCCAGGGCCACCTTCAGCACCGACTGCCAGCGTTACAGGGGACTCCAGGCATCAGCTGGTAAGACACCCTCATCTTACAAGTGAAGAAGGAGGGGCCTAAAGTAGCAAGGGCGGGAGCTGGCCAGGAAGCGCGGCAAATATCAGAGGGATGCATTTCCAAACCAGACCTCTGCCTCCTTATCCATGCTCTGTCCATGCTCATCAGCTGTCAGACTTTTCTTTCCCTCGAAACAAATTGGAGCAAGCATGTGGTGCAGTGGCTAAGCCACCCAGTCAGAGTGCCTGGATTCAAGTTCCAGCTGCTCCACTTCTATTCCAGCTTCCTGCTCATCGGTACCCTGGGAGGCAGCAGGTGATGGCTCAACTACCCATGTGGGAGTCCCAGATGGAACTCCAGGCTTCTGGCTTTGGCCTGCTTCAGCCCTGGTGGTTGCTGGCATTTGGGGAATGAAACAGTTGATGAAGATATCTGTCTGTGTGTCTCTCAGCCTTTCTAAAAACAAATCTGATGACACTGAGTTCGTGTGACACCATTGTGGCTGGACTTGCTGCCTCGGCCTCTTGTAATGGTCCCTCATGTCTCCAATACAGAGAACAGATTCTGATCCTGGGACCACTGAACTGATCCCAACAGCTGTGTCCTTAACCTCACCTTTGCTGCTTTGCTATTGCGGACACCCAAATGCTCAGTTCTATCACCTCATTTTAGAATAAAAAGGTTCATTGTTTTACTTCTTTTTTTGAAAGGTATTTAAAAATTATGTATCTATTTTATTATTATTTGAAAGGTAGACACACACACACAGAAGGAGAGGCAGAGACAGAGACAGAGAGAGATCTTCCATCAGTTGGTTCACTCCCTAAATGCCCACAACAGCCGGGGTTGGTGCAGGCCAAAGTCAGGAGCCTGGAACTCAGTCTGGGACAGTCTCTTGCATGAGTGGCAGGGATCCAAGTATCTGGCCATCATCTTCTGCCTCCCAGGTTGTGCACTGGCATTGGGAGCAGAGTTGAGTCCAGCCCAGATAATCCAATATGAGACGCAGGCATCCCAAGAGACATCCCAACCACTGCCCCGCCTGGCTGCCCCGCCAAGGGCACTTCAAGGTATTTGAAAACTTGTGGGAATCCCCCTGTATATCCAGCAGCATCTTTAGTGTGAACTGATTATTCATGAGCTAAAAAAAAAAAAAAAGAAATCGCTGAATCTGAGGTTCTGAATGCGTGGTCCACTTGTGCAAACTGGCCTGAAACCACACACGCAGGACACAAGATGGGGTGAAGGCTGGAGGCCCTTGAAGAGCAGGATTTGGGTCCCCTCTGTATTTGCAGCTCCAGGATCAAGTGCCTCGTTTGGTACATCATGGTGCTTAATAAATGTGTTGGAAAAATTCATGAAAGGGTAAAATGCTTCCGGTGTCCTGAGCTTTCCAGGGAAGAGTAGCTTAACACGGAAACAAACATTTGTATTTTGTAAAGTCTTGGTTTTCCAAACATGATAGTCTGCTAGCTACTTTGGTGAGTCTAAAAAAACCAACCACCCAAGCCAAAAACCCTTTTAAACTTTTCCATCCTCTGCTGATAGACACGGAGAAGCATACTCCCAAAGACGCAGGGGCATCTGTGAACGCTAGTAGGTGACTTGGGGGTGAGTCCCTGGACCCCTTGAATTCCTTCAGTCCTATGCTATTCAGAAATACTGGCCTATTCTCTTGGCTCACTGATGAGGCCAACTAGTTGCCTGTAGCCCCCCACCTTTTCTGGAACTTTCCAAGGCTCATTCCCCAGGGTCTTGCCTTAGTGGAGTTTTGTGTTGTATGGTGTTCTTGTCAACAAAGTCATTTAAATTTGTTTGCTGAAGTTCTAGACAATTTCTTCTACCAAAAGCCCTTGCCTGTTGGCTGTGAGGATCCTAGCCTGACTTGCAACCACATTTGCCCACTGAGTGGTGGGGGATGCTACTGGATATGTGCTACTTAGAAGATGGTTCTACAGGCAACCATGTATTATTAAACTATTTTGTGCATGTGGCCAATAATTAGGAAAAGGATTCCGGCACCCAATATGTGCAAGTTGGCAGCGTCCAGAGACCACGTAAAGGTGTGAAATATGAATATTTTAAGGAAAGCGCCACAGTTGGAAATGGACGAAAGACACAGCCAGGGAACCTTCTAGAAGCCTATAATTATGCTAACAACCAAAGTCTCCTGTAGCAAAGTTCCGTGTTCCTCATTGTGAGGGATCTGAAGCTGCCTCAAAAAATCTGTCCCTGAGATTTGGATTCAAAGGTCTTTTACTGTAGGCATCAGTAAGATAACAGCTTTGCGATGGCCACATTTTCTCTTCCAGAGATGCCCGGAGAGGGCAGAACTTGCCACGCAGGTCTAGAAAGACGCTCCGCTTCTTCTCTCACAACCTTCCGAGGTGTTGCTCCACCTCTGGCGCTGTGCTATGGAGAGATGATTATTTTGGTCCCTGAGCCAGGCAGACTGGCTGCCTCGCACCTCGTAAACAGTGGTGACATTTCACACAAGAGGACTTTCACCTGATTTTTCCTGTGGCATTTTAAAAATCTCCACTGGACTTTGCGGCCTTCGTTTTTTCCGTCCCCAACGGCACATCCAGAATCCCACTGAGACTCAGAGTGCCCGTCTGGGCAGCTCCACCAGCAGCTGGAGCCTGGCTCTTAGGACAGCAGGAAGCCCTGGACGCACTTCCGCTGCTTCCAAGCGGTCCACATCTCGAAGAAGGGAGGCGCTCGTTGTTTGTGCTCATTGCCAGCAGTCAACAAAGTGAAGATAAAAACACATTCACAAAACCTTCTAGGCAATTTCCCTTGAGATGAATCGCTACTTGGTTATTATTACTATTAAGTTAGAAAAGTCTATCTGGAAATGATTTCCAGCTTTTTAAAAAAAGATTTAATATTATTATTATTATTATATTTTTAAATATTTATTTATTTATTTTTGAAAGTCAGAGTTACACAGAGAAGGAGAGGGAGAGGGAGAGAGAGAGAGAGAGAGGGGGAGAGAGAGAGAGAGATCTTCCATTTACTGGTTCATTCCCCAAATGACTGGAACAGGCTGGGCTGGGCCAGGCCGAAGCCAGGAGCCAGGAGCTTCTTCCAGATCTCCCACGCGGGTGGCAGGGGCAGGCAGCTGAAACAGAAGTGGAGCAGCCTGGACTCGAATTGGTGCTCATATGGGATGGCAGCGGTGTCACAGGTAGAGGCTTAACCTACTGCACCACAACACCAGGCCTGGTTTCCTAATTTCCAAGTTGATTTCATGGAGCAGGTCTGTGTCCTTTTGCCCGCTCCCCCACGCCCACCCCCAGCCCCCACGGTGTGCCTGGGAGAAAACTGCCCAAGGGGAAGACCAACATCCAGCCCACTCAACCATCTCCAGAATTTCTTATGTTTGGTGCAAGCTGACTTCCCAAATATCTAGGTAGAAAAACATAAAAGAATAAAGACAACAGGAAATTTTGCAACTCTCTCTCACACTTCAGCAGTTCAAGGCACCACCTTTAGGTCTGTTTATGCTTTAATCAACTCATCGCAACTACTGATACCATTCTGTATTTTCTCTCAATCAATAAAATAATCTTAGAAGTTGGCTGGAGTTGTCTATACCCACTGGGAGCAGTAACTCCTGTCCCTACTTTACCCCGCACTCACAAGCAACCCTAGTTCTACTAAGTCTCCAGCTCTTTTCCTATCTCCCTCTGCAGCCAGCTGGAGGAGCCCTCCCTGAGCCCCCGGAGACTCTCCTGATCTTGTTCTCTTGAGTAGTTCACAAATCTACCCTCACCAGCACTGTGCACAGCGAGGTAAGAGGCAGCCTGCAGTGCCGGCACTCCCCTATGAAAACACCAGGAGCCCTGGCTACTCCACTTTCAACCAAGTTCCTTGTTAATGTGCTTGCAAAAGCAGCAGAGGATGGCCCAGCCACCTCTTGGGCCCCTGCCACCCATGTGGGAGACCCAGATGGAGCTCCAGACTCCTGGCTCCAGCCTGGCCCAGCCCCAGCTGTTGTGGCCGTTTGGGGAGTGAACCAGCAGCTGGAGGAGCTTTCTCTATCACTCTGCCTTCCAAATTAAATAAATAATTTTTAAAAAAAAAATGAGAGAATGAGGGGGCTAGCGTGTGGCACAGCAGGTTAAAGCCCTGGCCTGTGGCGCTGGCATCCCATATGGGCGCCAGTTCAAGTCCAGCTGCCCTACTTCTGATCCAGCTCTCTGCTATGGCCTAGGAAAGCTGTAGAAGATGCCCCAAGTCCTTGGGCCCCTGAACCCACATGGGAGACCTGGAAGAAGCTTCTGGCTCCTGGCTTCGGATCAGCTCAGCTCTGGCTATTGTGACCATTTAGGGAGTGAACCAGCAGTTGGAAGACCTTTCTCTCTCTCTCTCTCTCTCTCTCTGGCTCTGCGTCTCACTGTAACTCTGTCTTTCAAATAAATAAAATAAATCTTTAAGAAAAAATGAAAGAAATCTACCCTCATCACCTTCCAAAACAGAACCGAAACTGATACACATTTCCCAGATGAATAACAGTGACTTCTCTTCCCCATTACACGTGTCATTTATGTCTTATGTATGACATCAGTGCGTGTACTCAGAGCAAATTCAATTCTAAGATAATCGAATGTTAGTAACCATAAATTGACCATTAAACTCTCCAGCAGCTACCATGGTAATACAATGAAAACATGTTTTCCAGGAATATATTGGTTACGGCAATGACTAGCAAAGTTCTAGAATCCTTGGCAACATGGTGCTCTATCATCAAGCACTGGGATGTGTAGGTTTCTCTGATAATCACAGAAGCTGCTTCTACTGGATATAAAAAGGAAAACTTCAAAAGAAGGAGCGCTTTCTTTAGAAACTGATTAGGAGCAGGCGTTTGGTACAGTGGTTAACACGCCACCCGGGTGCCCTCATCCCATAACACAGTGTCTGGCTCTGCTTCCCGTCACAGCTTCCTGCTAACGCACATGCTGAGAGGCAAGCAGGTGATGGCTCAAGTCTGTGCCATTCAGTGGGAGACCCAGGTGCAGCTCCAGCCTTCCAGTTTCAGCCTGGCCCAGCCCCAGCTTTTGCATGCTTCTGGGGAGTAAACCAAATAGCAGAGCTTGGTCTGTCTGTGACTCTCTCTTTCCAATAAATAAAAAAATAAATTAATTTTAAAAAATGTAAAAGAAACCAAAGGTAAAAGAAGCTGGGCTGTGAGCCGGCGCCGCGGCTCACTAGGCTAATCCTCTGCCTTGCAGCGCCGGCACACCAGGTTCTAGTCCCGGTTGGGGTGCCGGATTCTGTCCCGGTTGCCCCTCTTCCAGGCCAGCTCTCTGCTGTGGCCAGGGAGTACAGTGGAGGATGGCCCAAGTGCTTGGGCCCTGCACCCCATGGGAGACCAGGAGAAGCACCTGGCTCCTGCCATTGGATCAGCGTGGTGCGCCGGCCGCGGCGGCCATTGGAGGGTGAACCAACGGCAAAAGGAAGACCTTTCTCTCTGTCTCTCTCTCTCACTGTCCACTCTGCCTGTAAAAAAAAAAAAAAAAAAAAAAAAAAAAAGCTGGGCTGTAACAGCTTCTACAGATTCCAGATAAGAAAAATTATAGATGTCAGCTTCAGTTATTAAAAAGTATGAGCTTGCCCTTTTTGATCCCGCCATTAAAATTCTTGTTCCAGAAAGTGTGTTTAAATGCAACCTATAACAGCTCCATTTCCAAAACAGTTTCATAAAAGCAGGAGAGTGAGCGAATCTATAGGTCTGTGCACTACAGAAGTCACCCCACCGACTACTGCCGCAGGGAAGACCAGCAGCCTTAACTACACCTGCTCAAGATCCTCCCGGGGAGGCGGGGGCTGGGGGAGAAAACGAAGCCATCACTGAGGGTGAGGCGTGACACAAGGCATGTGAGCCCCTCCAGGTCATCTCACCTGCTGTCGTCTCCACCCGCAGCCTCAGAGGAAGCCACCCCCGTTCCACGTACATCTCATGTCAATCACTAAATGGTAGCTCGAGGGGTAGGAAACATCAATGCAACCCAAAGTGGACTTCTCCGAATGTCTAATCAGCTAATGACTGGGCAGGTATCACTGCCCATGGAATTAAGCGGGCTTAACTTACCCTAACGTGGGGCCCTGCCGTCCACATAGGAGACTCGGACGCAGTTCAGGGCTCCTGGCTTTGGCTAGCACTGGCTGTCAACAGCATGATGTCTGACTTCTTATCCTATCAGGATAATCAGATTTGATGGTCTTTCTTAAAAAAAAAAAAAAAAAAGATTTATTAATGTATTGGGAGGTGGGGTGGTGGGAAAGACATGGAGAGATATCGTCCATTCCCTGGACCAAGCTGAAGCCAGGAACCAGGAATTCCGTCTGGGTCTCCCACATGGGTGGCAGGGGCCCAAGCACTTGGATCTGCTGTCTTCTCAGGCACATTAGCAGGGAGCTGGATGAGAAGTGGAGCAGCCAAGGACTTGAACCAGCACTCCAATATGACATGTGGGCATCACAAGCAGTGGCTTAGCCCACTGTGCCACAATGCCAGTCTCTTTTATGTTTTCAAGTTTTTTATTTTTTACTTTTTATTTAAAAAAAATTTAAAAAAGAGAGTATCTTCCATCTGCTGGCTTACTCTCTCGACGCCCAGAACAGCCAGAGCTGTGCTAGGCCCAAGCCAGGAGCCTGGAACTCAATGCAGGTCTCCCATGTGGGCATCAAGGACTTCAGCTATCACTGCCACTTCCCATGGTGTGTAATAGCAGGAAGCTGGATTGGAAGTGGAGGAACTGACTCTTGAACCAGACACTCTGACATGGGATGTGGGTGTTCCAAGTGGCAACGCAACCTCTGCACAAAATGCCCAGCCCAGATTTTCTGTTTTTAAACTCTAACTGACCTGATGGGCATTTCCATCCATTAATGGTCACTCTCAATGGCTGCATATGTATAGACTCAACAAAAGTTCTACTTTGGCTAAGCTCAGCCTCTTGCTCACAAGGGAGAGTGCCCATCTACAAGCCAACACACGATTCTACCTTCATAGTTATCTGTTGCCTAACTCTTGTCCAAATCAAATTGGTTACCTTGCAGTCAGAGCCCAAAGTGAGATCCTTGCCATATGAACTTTTCCCCCCAAAGAATGTCCACTAACCCAGTGCATTGTCAATAGGAAGGCATTTAGACTTGGGACATAATAAAACGTATGCAACTAACAGCCAAAGATGACAAGAGATTGAGGTGAAATACAGTTACATGCACAGGGAGAGAAATAATGTACTGGGGGCATTTTACTAAAAGTTGCCACTTCAGAGTAAAAAATGGAAATTATACATCTTGACTTGACTTTTCTGATATAGCTCACTTTGGAGAATATTTGCAATATTGAAACCCACTCAAAATTTGCCCCATATTTCTCTAGAACAAGGCTGGGACCCAGAAAAATACAAAGAGCTCAATAAGAATGCAGCAAAAGGGAATGAAGAGAATCATGTATTTAAAGGAAAGATTATAGTGTACTAATAAATTATCAACAGCATTACTCAAAAGAAGTTATAGAATATGAATGCAAAGTAGTCAGTGACTTTTATATTTGGTGTCATTGCTAAGAAGCTGAGAAAGATGTGGCACAACAGGTTAAAGCCCTGGCCTGAGGTGCCAGCATCTCATATGGGTGCCAGTTCGAGTCCCGACTGCTCCACTTCCGATCCAGCTCTCTGCTATGGCCTGGGAAAGCAGTAGAAGAAGGCCCAAGTCCTTGGGCCCCTGCATCTGTGTGGGAGACCAAGTAGAAGCTCCTGGCTCCTGGCTTCGGATCAGCTCAGCTCTAGCCGTTGCAGTCATTTGGGGAGTGAACCAGTGGACGGAAGACCTCTCTCACTCTCTCTCTCTTTCTCTCTCTCTCTCTCTCTGTCTCTCTGTAACTTTGACTTTCAAATAAAGAAAAAAAGGAAGAAAGGAAGAAAGAAAGAAAGAAAGAGGCCATAACAGACCAAAACGGCACAGCAGAGTCACTTGGCTTCAACCAAATTTCTCAACAATATTCTGTAAGAAGAGAATATGCAAGTTGCACTTAAAATTTTATTTTACTTATTTTCATTTACCTGAAAAGCAGAGACAGAGAGACCTCCATTGGTTTACTCCTCAAAAGCAACCGCCTGAAGTGGGCCAGGCCAAAACCAGGAGCTTGGAACTCAATTTGGAGCTCTACACGGGTGGCAAGGACTCAGTCACTTGCCTATCACCTGCTGCCTGCCAGGATGTACAGTAACAGGAACCTGGAATGGGGGGGGGGGGGCAAGACTTAACGCCAGGCAACGCTGCTGTAGGCTGCAGGCGTCCCAAATGGCATCTTAACCGGAGCACAAAATACTTGTTCCTACAACTTGTATGTTTAAAATTAGGTTGTTGTGGAAACTCCTGCCTTTTGGAAATGAATGTTGATTTTGGTCAAAGCCTGGAAGAGACACAGAGGCTTTGGTTCAGAATGCAACAGGGTAAACAGAGCTGCCCGGCCACAGATAAAAACCACCACCTGGGTAGGGGCTGTGCAGCTCAGGGGTGGAAGTTCAAATGGCAGGGAAATGGGGTAGGAGTCAGAGAACAAACAAGGCTGCAGCAGATGTCAGGGCCCAGATAACAATCAAACAGACCAGAATTCCAAATGGCTCACTAATATGGTTTGTCTTCCCTAGCCAGAAGTTCCATGTGGGCAGGGATTTTAATTTTGTCCATGGCTGTCTCTGCAGTTTCTGGAACACTGCCTGGCTCATAGAAGGTGCTCCACAGATATCTGAGGAGTGAGGGACCATAAGCTAAGTCTCAGAAGACAGATTCGCCGACGAAATTAAACTGCACAAGCGTCTAATGAGCATCTACACAGTACTATGCTACGGGTCCGCGTGTCCCACCTTCCCTCCTTGCCCTCTGCCTCCTTCCTTTGAATGACTGTGGCCAGTCCAGGAAGGGAACTGTCACGGTGTGGGCCAAGAACACCCGCCCCAGAATTAAAGGTTAAAATGGCAACCCCCTGGGGCACCACTGGGGACTTCTTGAATCACAATCCTGGGTGAAGGGGCCCAGAAACTGGTGTTTTAGGCAAGTATCCAAGTGAAGTTTCCCATCCCCCGAGGTTTGTACTCTACTGATGTAAGACTTTGCAAAGAGATCTGATAAGAATTCTCCAGGACGGACAGTCCCACGCTGGCCATGGTTTGACTTAGATTCTTCAATGTTATGGTCGGGGGAAAGCAACGCATACTCAGGAGAACACATACTTGAGAGTTTGAATTCTGATGTTTTCTGGATGTAGGATCCTCTCTTTGACACGGGCAAGGGCAGCCCACAGTTAGGAGGGAGATCACTGATGCTCTCCAGCACGCTGTGTGGCCCAGCCACGGTGTTCGGCAGGCTGGGTGGATGAAATGTGTTTTCAATTTACGGTCATTTCAACCTCGATGCGGTTATGGAGGTACTGGAGGCACCTGTATTCGCGTTAGCCACTGAAATCCCAAGGGCCAGGGAGACGACTATTTTGGGGGGTTACTGTGGACCAGGTACCGTTCGAGACAAGTATCAATTAATAATTCAATATTAATATATTAAATTTAATATTCACTCATCCAAGGAGGCATTTTGACAAAAACTATGTTTAAGGAAACAGCTCAGGTACAGCGAATAATTTGCCTACCACTGAATAGCAGGTAACGAGGAGGGATCCGTATTCTGATTGTGAATCTCAAGGCATCGTGGGCACAGAGGTCTAGATGCTCCACTGAGTCATCACCGACTTTCCGGATGCTGGGAGAAGCAGTTCATCTGCCCCAGCACCGGACCCCTTCACAAGCAAAAGCAGGGGTGCATCCCTCTCCTGCGAGCATCCCCCCATCCGGGGACATACAAATCCCAAGGTGCTGAGCTATGGGAGCCCGGGACAAGCACAGGCATCAGACTGGGGCTGTGCACCCTGCCGACGGGAAGGTGCTGCTCTGATTCAATAACATTTCATTTTACACGCATCTATCTACCAGATGTGGCCCGAAGGCCACGTGTTTGTAAACCGACTTGCGTCTATCACCTTTCCTTACCACGGCAGGGACGGACGCCTCATTTTCTCGTGCAGTGATCCTAGCTGGGCAGCGGGCAATGTACGATGCTCTCGCCTTCTCGCTCACGTGAAAGGGAGACGGAGTGAACTCTCCGGGAGAGAGCCTTCTGTTTCAGAGAGCGGACTGCACTGCCGCCGACGTCCAACACCTGCAGTCGGAGATTTCCTCGGAGTAACAGAAACCATCCCCGCCTGTCTGTCTCCCTTTCAAACACACACATACTCCTACGCATGGATTTCAAAACTTTTTGGCACCAGCTTAAAACCCTTCATTCCCTTTCCACGAAATGTCTTAAGGAGCCCTTACACAGAGACAGAGAGCAGGTGATGTGCGAGGTAACACAGCGCAGAACACACTGCTGTCACCTAAGGCTTTCATCCCGCTACTTTCTCCAGAATGGCTGTGGGTTAACTCATGAGTTTCTGCTACCTCTACTCCGGCCGGTATTGGCGCGGCGTTAGGGGGAGGTGTTTCAACGTTATCTTATGGCAGGGTTAAAAAGATACCTCTTTGCCATGTGGTGCGTAAATTCCGTGTCGTCGAGAGAGGCGACGTGAACCGCCCCGGGCAGCACCCATCACCAGACCGCAGGACCGCGCCGTGCCCAGTCCGCTGGCGTTAAAACGCAGGACCGCGCGCGGCCCCCGCGGCCACGGATCGAGACGCGCTCACAGGGACGGCCAGCCAAGACTCCCCAAAACTCCGCCAAGACACCACAGAAAGCCTCCAGGAAGCGAAGCCCGCGGGGTCTGAGCTCATTTTATTGTCGTGGCCGTTTGTCTTTTTAATTGTAGCCTTTCCACCGTGAAACCAACGCGCGCCCAAGGAGCCTGGCCGGTTTTGGAGAAGAAAAGCCTCCCTCTCCCGGAAGTCCGAGCGAGCCGAGTTCCCGGAGCCCGGGGGCCGCGGGGGCCGGGGGGGCTGGGCGGGCCCCGGGGAGGATTTATTTGGCAGTTTCGGGGCGGGGGAGTCCGCAGCCCTCAGGAAGCCCCCCAGACACCCGCCCCGCTTCGCGGCGCTGCGCGCTCGGGCCACCCGCTAGCTCCCGGGTTTCGGCGCCACAGGAGACGCCGCGGGGCGCGTCGCCCCTCCCCCTCCTCGTTTACCCCCCCTTCCCCCTCCTCTTCCTCCTCTTACCTCCCACATCCTCCCCCCCACCAGCTTCCCTCCAAATCCTTCCCCCCCACTTTCTCCTCCTCCTCCCTACGCCGCCCTCCGGTCCCTGGCCTGGGCCTCCACAGATTTGCGCAGAGGGTGCCTGCCTGCCGAGGCTCACTCAAGACTACGGAAGAGAAAAGTTTGCGCGCAGCTCGGCGGGCGGACACCAGTTCCCCGCCCCCGGCAGGGCGGGCCTGGAGGCCGGGGCTGCGACGCCGCCGCCGCTCGCTCGCTCGCTCGCGGCTCCCCTTGGCCTTCGAGCCCGCCCAGGAAGCCTGGCGCTTCCAGAAAGGCCTGGGGCTCCGGGTCCCAAGCGAGCGAGTGCGGCGGGCAGCAGCCTGTCTGCCCCGCTTCTCAGCGTTGCGATGACCTAGCACAACCGAGGCGCGGGGAGGGAAGGCGGCTGGGGTCCTGCTGCCGGAAGGGATGCCCCGCAGCCAGCGCATTGGAGAGGGGCTGTGATGGTGGGTGCTGTGCATAGGGCCTGAGGCCCACTTTCCCCGGTCGGTCGGGGCCGAGGGGAGGCACACTACAAATAGTAGCGGACACGGCAGGCACAGTGCAAAGAACTTGGCCTTGCGTGGTGGTCCTTACGAACAGTTCTGTGATCTGCTTTATTCCCGGGAGACGCAGCCGTGGCTCAGCTAGTGTTTGGGAGGCACGCGTTCAGCCTTGCCACCGACTGCCTTGGCTCCTTGCGAGCAGGTCCGTGTTGGGGTTCTCAGCAGCGCACAGAGCCAGCCTGGCCTCACCCTCCGGCTCGTCCTGAGCCCTTGCAGCAGTCTGCATTCCTAGACCACCCCCCTAGTGCGCGCTCCAGGAGCTGCCAGCCATCTCCGCGAACCCAGATCTCCTTTGGCTTTTTAGGGAAATTCCCTGTGCCCTAGGCAGGGAGCCTGGTGCCAAGTGACTAGTCTGTCCAATTGGGGGTTTTTCCAAGTCCTCCAAATTCCTGTTCTTCTGCTAAGGAAATAGCAGTGTGGAGGGGCAACCATTCAATGCAGTTCAGCTGGGGCCCTTGTCAGCCACCCGAGATCCCTGCTAGGTTATAAAGAGCTTGTGACGAAAGCACTGTAGGCTCCTGTCACAGGTTACAAGGTGTTTGCCCTGGAGACTAAGGAGATGGGTGCTGAGGAGGTGACGGTGGTGGGCCACTCACAATCTGACCTGATGTGTGTCCCTTTCCTCTTTCTTGCAGCAAGTGTGAAACACCTCTGCTCACTTCACTGTCAGGCTATTCTGGAAGTTTCTTTCCGGGTTTCAATATTCCACTGAGGTTTCTTTTTCTTCAGTTACAGTTTTTATTACTACTTAACATCTGCACGCTTGTGAGTCACCGAAATCGTCCCCCAAAATGAGACAGAGTTGACAGCTCCAGCTGCAGTCAATGGGAGCGGGTCCACAAATCCAGTGTCTACACCTGCTGCAACACAGTGCACAGGAAGCTGGTGTCTCAGACGCCGTGGGGTGCTATCTGATGAACAGTTGCCCTGGGAGGGGCTTGTGCTTATCCTTTCTGTCGCTCCCCCATTCGCGGAGGAACGACACAGGACCCTGCGCTGTTCTTTTGTCTGCTCGGCCCTTCCCGGGTTTGCTGCTGGTCCTTCCCGGGTTGGCTGCCGACCCTTCCACCTCCGTGGAAGGGCGGTTCCCCCTAGCCACTTTCCCCACTTCCGCGGGGGAGCGGCACACCGCCGGCCGGCTCGGCTCTCTCGGGGGCTGCTCAGATGTTACCCGGTTGTTCCCTTTAGATGTTCCTGGTGCATGTTGTCTCTCTCCTCCTTTATAGTCCTCTTCCACCAATCCCAACTCTGCTACCCACATGCCGAGTACGCTGCTCTCCTCCAATCAGGAGCAGGATCAGCTCCTGCAGGTTATTGGTCGAACTGGAGGCAGCTGTGTAAAAGTTGTTTACTCCTCTCCCAGCACCATATTGTGGGAGAGCAGATGCATAGAATAAGTCTTAATTCCAGTAACTTAGTCTAGTCCGAGTTGCTCCCCACACTTTCTCCCTTTCTTTAGGTTAACAATGAAATCAGGGCAGGTGTTTGGCCTGGTGGTTTAAGTTCCTGCATCCCACATCTGAAAACCTGGGTTTGATACCCAGGTCCAGCTCCTGTCTCCAACTTCCTGCTACCGCAGAGCCTGGGAGGCAGTGGTGATGACGCTCAGGAGGTAGTTGGATTCTTGCTACTCAGGAAGACCTGGATTGAGTTCCTGGCTTCTGGCTTAAGCCCTGAGCCCAGCCCCAGCCTAGTCCATGCCGCCAGGAAGCATTTGGGGAGTGAACCAGCAAAAGGATACTCACTTAGTCTCTCCATGCCCTCTGACTGCACCCCTCTCATCTGATCTTGAAAGCTAAGCAGGCTTCAGTCTGGTTTAGGACTCGGATGGGAGAAACAGGAGGGGTGGATCTGCTTTCATAACAACCTGCTCTCCAGTAACCAGCCCACTCCACTGAAACCACATTACTCCATTGCCCTTATGACCCGACCACCTCTCATTAAGTCTTAACCTCCCAATCCCACTGCATTGGGGATGGAAATCCTGTTTCATGAATTTGGGGGTACACATCCAAGTCACAGTTGGGGGGTCCCTGGAGGGTGGCCAAAGACTGCCTTCCTTCCTCTGGGTACCCCGAAGAGGACAGAATCAAGTTAGTTAAAATGAGGCCAAGCTTAGACCCATGCCTGGAGCCTATGGCCCTGCTCCCCAAGCACGTGCACTTGGCCCTGACCTCCTTCCGCACCTGGCCTTGTGGCTCTTGACTGCAGGTGGGCTACTCTGCACATAGACTTCCTGCCCAGGCCCGTTCTCCAAGGTAGTACGCTGTGCCCCAGACTCTTCCTGGCTCGTGTGCCTGTACTGGAAACCATTCCTAATAAGATTCCTGGGGAATCCAGAGGCAAGTCCAGGCTCATGTGCTCTGGGAAACCAATGGGCGTGTGGGTGGCTGTGTGCTTTTGCAGGAGACTAGCTACAAACAAGACTGCATCCCTAGCCTGGCTGTGAGAGGAGGGACTGTGGGGTTCAGCACCTCCTAAGTCAGAGAGAGAGGCACTTCTACACGCATGGGCTGTCCCCGGCTCCATCACAAGAAGATGAAGAAAAGTAATAAAACCAAGATGAAGTCCCATGTACATTCGTCCAGCTTGCAAAGATTGTAGAAAGTTAAAGATGGAAAGGGTATTAAATACCACCTCATTGTGCAGCTGTAGAAACTGAGGCCGGGGGAGGGTGCTTGCTGCTCTGTGGCAGTAGCCGTCTCCTGTGGCTGTGACCACTACATCCAGCGTCTTGCCACTTTTGAGAACTGTTAGGGACAGAGAGATCAGGCCTGCAAGCATCTTGGCCTCCCACCGCGTTTATTACTTCCAGCTGCTAAAAAATTGGCACTGTTCCAAGTGGGAGACTCCCCCACCACGAGGGGCACTGCTCCTGCTCTGCTCTGGGGAGTTCTGATTTGGGGGGGGGTGAACAGGCAGGTGACCGGAGGCGTAGTGGCCAGTCTCCTCCCTGGCGCTCTGTCCTTCCAGGCTAGGGGTGTGTGCCCTCTGCAGATGCTAAGCCGCAGAGCTGACGGCTGACTTCAGTCACGTGTGCATTTGCCCCTGGAAGCTGGAAAGCTGGAGGAAATGCCGCTGCCCAAGCCTGTTGGCCTTGGAGGGAAGCCTTTGGAGAGTCGGTAATAGGCTGTCCTGTAAGGGACCGATTGCAAAGCAAACCCCACAGATGGCGCTGGCTTTGGCTTTGCCTGAGACATTTTGGTGCAAGTAATGAACTTGAGCTAGCTTAAGCATGAAGGGGACTAGAGGATGAAGCGGGGCCTTAAAAAGCACGAGGGCGCCTGGCCTCAGACTAGCCTGGGGAGCTGCAGTGGGTGGCTGGGTAGGAGATGCCCCCACCCCTCCATAACTACCCCCTTCACAACTCCTCTGCTAAGGACCTCAGCTTAAGGTGACAAGCCATCCTCAAGCCAATCCCGAATTCCCAGGAGACAGAATTTGGCCCAGCTTGGGTCAAGTGCACAAGCTGATCTGATCAAGTGCACCTGGGATAGGAGTCCTGGGACAGGCACAGCTGGGAGCAAACATCTTCACAGGTGATGGAAGGGTGAGTTCCTCCAGAAAGAGTAGTGAAATACAGTGGAAGACATTTTTTAAAAAAGATTTATTTATTTATTTGAAAGTCAGAGTTACACACAGAGAGGAGAGGCAGAGAGAGAGAGAGAGAGAGAGAGGTCTTCCATTAGCTAGTTCACTCCCTAGTTGGTTGCAACGGCAGGAGCTGTGCCAATCAGAAGCCAGGAGCCAGGAGCTTCCTCCAGGTCTCCCACGTGGGTGCAGGGGCCCAAGGACTTGGGCCATCTTCCACTGCTTTCCTAGGTGCATTGGCAGGGAGCCGGATTGGAAGTGGAGCAGCCGGGTCTCTAACCGTTGCTGCTATGGGATGCTGGCATCGCAGGTAGAGGCTTAATCTGCTATGTGACAGCACAGCCCCTTTTTTTGTTTTTAAAAAAATTTCTCTGAAAGACAGAGCACAAGAGAGGGAGAGATCTTTCATCTGCTGGTTCATTCCCCAAATGCCCACAAGAGCCAGGGCTGGGCCAGATCAAAGCCAGGAGCCTGGGACTCAGTCAAGGTGTCTCAGGTACCCAGAGACCCACCTACGCGGGCCACAATCTGGGCCTCCCGGGATGTGCGTTATCGGGAAGCTGGACCAGAAGCAGAGGCGAGACTTGATCCCAGGCACTCCAGTGTGGGATGTTGGCATCCTAGGCAGCAACTTTACCCGTAGCATCACAACACCCTCCCCAAGAGTGTAACTTACAACTTAAATGCGCTGAGATACGCTTGGAAACCTATGGGCACGCTTACCTACAATTTTAAACACCCAAACTGTTCCCCAAAATAACCGGAAGCAGCATCTAATAAAAGCACAGAAAAGTATGAACAAAAGCGATCAACATC